GACCAGATCCACGCCCGCTCCGCCCAGGCTGTGGCCACGAGCCTGGGTCTAGGGGAGGCGATGGGCGTGGTGTGGGCGGTGGCTCCCGTCTGCGCCCTCACCGGAGAGGGACTGGACGACGCCATGGCCACCCTCAGGACTCTCATCGACAAGGTCCGGCAGGACTATCGGAAGAGGGACCGGTGGCGCTGAACACGACCGACCTGCAGTCTTTCCCGGTCTAAGGGAAATGGTTTTTCACCAGGTTGCTGCTAGATGGGTTGAGGGGGAGGGTTGAGGGGGAGACACGGGGTGTCGTGCAGGGTGTAGCTGCCCTCATCTGTCACAGTAACACCCGCACGGTACCACACCTCGGCTGCACAAAACTTGTGTGATAACTCATTATCTGCCAGGATTATACGAGGTGCAATTATGGTGTTGACAGCTGACCGAGTGTTGTTACAAGCTGTAAATACCGGCGGTACAAGAGATCGCGTAATTTACAGGAAGTTCGTGATGCTTGTATCGTCTGCATGATATATGTATAAGCTGTACCATACATTTGTACCAGCTGTACCAAGGCTTTTCGATACGAGTATTTACAGAGTGTGAGAATTATACCATGTACTTGATTTATTATATTATGTAAGCTAAGAAGTGCTCGGGAGTCCTCTGGGGTGATGCCAGGGAGTGAGGCAGTACACGGACCCCTCAACGTGCTCTCAGGTCACACGGTCTCATGCCTCCCTTTCTCTGTGCACCAAAAAAAAAAAAAGTTCATTTTCGCTGCGCTTTCTTCTTTTTTGTTATGGACATTTTGTTTTTTTTGTATAATCAAAAAGCTGCGGAAGACACTTTGGAGGAGGTGATGTATGACCACAAGAGGCTGGTGTAAGGGGGTACAGCAGGAGCCCCCCCCCCCCCGGCCAGGTCTTAACCCCCATGTCAAGCTTGACACAGGGACCCCGTCAGACCGAACCACCCACACGCCCCTATCACCCACTTCAAGCTACGTCCATTTTATGATTGTAAAGCCTCAATTTATCTATTTGCTGTAGATCCTGGACACTCTTCACTATTGTGTAAATGCTCACATATATTCAGAGAATGTCATAAATATGCTTACAGAACTGCGCTCTTCAAATTTTTCGCGCCAAGCCTGCACTTGGCGCCCTTTTTTGAGTTTTAGCTTTGTATGATAATTTTTGAACGATGTTTACGCGAGTCTTGAAAAAATGGCGCGCAAACCTGCTTCAAGACGTTACCATGAATATCTCGCGTTCTCTAATTTGTTCACAACAATACAGGTCACAAAAACCCACAGACATTTGAGGGTTAATGTTGAGGAGTGTCAGGGACGGTTGGGAGTTCCTCCTTCCACAACTCTCCAGGAGCTTGTGGTGACGTCATATGTAAACAAAGTAGTAGCCAGGCGGGGATTCTCCAAGGTGTAGTTTTAATGTGTGGCCGAGGGTGGTCCCAAGGTGTGGCCGAGGGTGGTCCCAAGGTGTGGCCGAGGGTGGTCCCAAGGTGTGGCCGAGGGTGGTCCCAAGGTGTGGCCGAGGGTGGTCCCAAGGTGTGGCCGAGGGTGGTCCTAAGCTGTGACCGAGGCGGTCCCGAGGCTCGGCCAGACTGTTCTTGTGGTAAAATGCATTCTGTAGAGGATTCTCTTCCTGAAAACCTGAGGTAAAACATCTCATGCTGTCCTTAGAAATCCTGTACAAATATTATGTCATGGGGCCGTATAGTGGTGAGTTAATCAAAAGTATCTGAAGGGTGTGGAAATATATATTCTTGTACAGTATTGACTTAGGAATTACAGAATTATATATATGCAGTGTAGCAGGTTCAAAACCTAAAATATATCTGCCATTGTTGCATTTCAGATTGTAAGCTCATCACATTGAACTGTACACACACACATCACGTACAAAATTAAATTAGTGCATGACGTAGATTTTTTGCAAGTTAGAAGTAGAGTTTTGTGTAGAAAGGACCCCAGCTAGCACGTAACTACAACGTTTTTTAAGCTTTAAAAAGATTGTTCCAACGATTAAACAAAGTCAAAAATAGAGTGTGGGTCTCCGTCTGGACTGGAGACACGGGAGTGGTGGTCCCAAACCTTAGAATCTCAAGGATCTTCTGTTCCTCTGTTAAATTATTGCCAAATCTGTTAGTTTTAGAAGTATTAAGAGTTCTTATTGATTATTTATTTTTCATGTATAAATATACTTGTCGTTCCTCACTTTATATATTTAATATGTAATTGTTAACATATTCAGGCCTTTGTATAGGTCTCTATTTTTTTCTGACTGTATGAATTGTATGGAATTCAAAATAAACAGTATTATGGTCTTGTGTTTTTGTTTGGTACATGATTCGTGTAATCGTGTTGTTTTGTCACGAAATTGGTGCATTAGAAGAGTAGGAATAAGGATTATAATTACCTACGCACATAGATGGAATTCACAGCCAAAAAGATTATAACCTACACGAATGACAACTGTGTTGTACTATGGAGACGGGGGAGAGTTTGCTGACGGACCAGCTGCCGCTCACCTACACTAGGTGGCAAACTAGCCATTCATAGCTTGTCTAACTGAATTGGAGTGTACCTGAAATGGGTTCTGGGAGTTCTTCTACTCCCCAAGCCTGGCCATGGGGGCCGGCCAGGTTCGACTTGTTATAATTTGATTCAACAGACTGTTGCATGCTTAGAATGGGCAGCAGGCCTGCATATCCACTAGAACCCGGTTGGTCCGGCACTCCTAGCAGGAACGTGTCTAAATTTCTCTTGAGCACGTCCAATTTCGTACTGGGATATTAGCCGTGGACCTCAGGGGCCAGATTCACGAAGCAATTACACAAGCACTTACGAACCTGTACATCTTTTCCCAATCTTTGGCGGCTTTGTTTACAGTTATTAAACAGTTAATGAGCTCCAAAGCACCAGGAGGCTGTTTATAACAATAACAACAGTTGATTGAGAAGTCTTCATGCTTGTAAACTGTTTAATAAATGTAACCAAAGCCGTCAAAGATTGAGGAAAGATGTACACGTTCGTAAGTACTTGCGTAACGGCTTCGTGAATCTGGCCCCTGGTTAGTCGTGGAAGGTCCATTGGTCGTGGGTCGAGTGTAAACACCTCAACAACAGGAGTTACCAGATAGTTCTCGCCATTATGCGCGTGCGCACTCAGGCCACCACTAATGAACTACCTGAAACTCTGAACCAACACTCCTAATAAATAATGCAGCTCGTCCTCATAAACAATTCAGCTTATCCTCATTAAAAACAGGACCAAGTTCTCGTTAATCCAGCCGCCAAACCTCCTGTTTATGAACGAATGAACGTTTACACACGACTCACAACTAATGATGTTCGAAAATTTCTCGAACAGTGCTTTGTTGACGTCCTGTGTTCGGATCTAATCTCCGCATATGCTTCACCCACGCACTGCAAAATACAAATAATTGCCAAGAGAACCTAAACACCTAATATAACCAAATGTTGGTTTAATTCTAATATATAATAATGTTAATTTTTATATGAGAAATTACCGGTTTTGAATAAGCAGTTAAACTTAATAAGTGCGTCTTCGGGGTCGGCCGCTGGATGGACGAACTTCGCCTGACGATGAGTTGGTTTAATGAAAGGCGTTAATGTGTGTGTGCCCCGGCAGGTGGCGCCTGGACCTCACACCTGCTGGGTCTCGCGCACATCAAGGTACGTGTGTTAATAATAATTGTGTTTAGAAGGGTAAAGAAGGGCATGACTTAGCTGGTACAGAGTACGTATATTGAAGCCTGTATGGGTATACAGCACTTGGGAGAGTTGTGTGGCTGGGGCATGAAGGAGGGGAACTCATCCACTTCGACCATCGGGGATCGAACTCTGACCGTGCAAGAAATGAGACTTGAAATTGAATAACTTGTAAAAAAAAATCTGAATTCAGTGTAGCACTGGAGTAACAACCTGGGCTCGAATCCCACTCCGGATTAGACGACTGGACCTCGTTCCTATACTTAGGATTCTATTAGTGTTAACCGTACTATTATTATTTGTCGATTAATCGTATAGTTCACTAAGCAATAATTCTGGACCTGAATGGGGAACAGACGTATGGTCGTGTTCTAGGGAAATGCCAACGGTTCATTAAACCGGTTTCTGTCCCTGACGCGAGGTTCGAACCTCGACACACGCTGGCCTCACCCGAGGGTAGAACCCGAACCCCATAATAACAATGGGCGAAATAACAGGGCACACAGAGCAAGTGGACAGTAAAAGCGTTGGTGCCAGGCAATGTATCACACAAGGTAGTGAAAGAAGGCGCTCGACCCCTAATCAATCCACTTGCACACTTGTGCTGCAAGACAGCGTAAGATGCTCACGGTCAGATCAGTATAACAAAAATAGAAGATAGGACGCGTTGAATGTCTTTTAACATGAACTTTGTGAAAATCATGGCTAATAATAATAACAAAAGTGAGTGGCTGTATTGATTTAATTAAAATAGTGGACTTTGGGCCCCACTCAGAGAGGCCTTCTTTAGCCTGGTGGTACAGGCCGAAGAATTCTTTTTCTGTGACAACGTTGTACTTAACACACAAAACTACGACGGTACAACGTTCGAACAAGAATTAGCAAGTTGTTTCTGTCATGAGCCAAGATGTAACAACTTTATTACAAGTTGTAACAAGCGGAAAATTGAGACAGTTTCGGTTTGTGTTTCCAGGGTAGGCACTTGGAACCCAACCACTTGAACTGGACGGTAGAGCGACGGTCTTGCTTCATGCAGGTCAGCGATCAATCCCCGACCGTCCAAGTGGTTGGGCACCATTCCTTCCCTCCGTCCCATCCCAAATCCTTATCCTGGTCCCTTCCAAATGCTATATAGAAGTAATGGGTTGACGCTCCCTCCCTCTCTCCTCCTACCCCCTGATAGTTCCCTTCCCTTAGGCACTTTGAAACTTCTGCAAGATAAAACTATCAGAGAAATCCTAAATAATATGTTTGATGAAACAGAGTTTGTTTGATCAAATATTATAAAGGGTTTAGTATCTCCTTTATACGGAGGCCATCTCGCGCGAGTGTAACTCCTCAAGATGACAGACTGCAGGTAAAATAGCATATAACAAAAAAGGAACTGAATTAGACGAAGGTGTTCCTATCTCCCTTGTCAAAGCTATGATGCTCCAAACTTTCAGGTCTGTTAGGAGCTAAATTATCTGCTTAGGAAGTAATCACCTGTTTAGATGTGACGCCTATTATCATGGGCAGCAGACAGCGCGACACTGTGGCTGCCAGGCTCAGGCTAGGCTGTCGTTACCTGTGGCTGGCGGCAGAAGGTGACGAACCTCCCAATCCTGAGGACTGTGTGTTAAACCCTGAGAGCCAGAACTGGGTCATGATCTCACACTCTACATTATTACATGTGCAAATATAGGTATTGTCTATAAAAGATTCCTCCACCTTGCACCCGCAAGATAACGTAAACTTGAGGATTGTCAGACTTTAATCCTCTGTTTTACAGTCTGTTCACTTGAAACAGTTAAGTTTCAGCTGCGTCTGGGTTCAAAAGACAGGATGAACAACTTAGAACAACCTATTTTCTAACTATTGGTTGGATGGGGGGGGGGTGGTTGTACACTCGCAGGATGAGTGACGCTGCCCAATCAACTGGCACTCCGAGGGCCAAATAAAATAATGAATGTCCGATCATCAGGCGTCGTTCACACCAGGAAGGTGGAATTCTTGATGATATCCTCATAATCCAGCCCGAGGTTGGCAGTGCAGACTCCTGGTCGCGTGCTGCTCATCGTCCTGTCAGGATGATCATTTTCACAACCCATCAACAGATCTCTCGATTTGGATACATTTAGTGGGGTGACTTGCAGAGATTGTGTCGGCTTGGGCAAGCTTTTTCCACACAACTCAATACTCCTCCCCCCCCCATTTCCCGCCGCCCCTCCCCAACCCAAACCATTCTTCCCCCCCCTGCAGCCCCATCACCCCCCCCCCTGCAGCCCCATCCCCCCCCCCCTGCAGCCCCATCACCCCCCCCCCCCCTGCAGCCCCATCACCCCCCCCCTGCAGCCCCATCACCCCCCCCCTCCCATCACCCCCCCCCCTGCAGCCCCATCACCATCCCTGCAGTCCCACATTCCTACCGGTGATACATTCAAGCTACTGAAAACAAAAAGTTACAATAACATCAATTATAATTATATACCGTTTAAGCTAGATTGAGTCTTAGATTCAGAAGCTGTATTTATCAGTGATTTACAACAATCACTACAGTTGTGGCTGTGGGAGACACAAACAGCTTCCAGCTCACCGCCAGAGACATGGGGGCTGATATTAATAAAACAAATACCATCAAATTAGGACGATCAAAAGATAATTTGAATGAGAACTCATATAAACTAATTATGCCCAAAACTTACATAGATATTTACACTCCCTCAGTGTTTTACATCAAGAGATTTAGGCCCCAGCCTGGAGCACACACTGTAACCTACATCCCACTTCAGTAGCATGTAAAATGGCAGTCAAGACGTCATCTCTTTGAGCGAGTAATTCCCTGATCATTTCAAATATCCAGGTAGGGGGGGAGGGGGTTATCCCCCCATTAATGGGTATTCTCCCCCTTTGCTGGGCCTGGTGTTCATATATGCACAAGTCATGGCTGGTGAACTTGGACTCAAGACATCCACGAGTAAATATGACCACCACTAACACCACCACTAGCACCACCACTAGCACCACCACTAGCACCACCACTAACACCACCACTAACACCACCACTAGCACCACCACTAGCACCACCACTAACACCACCACTAACACCACCACTAGCACCACCACTAACACCACCACTAACACCACCACTAACACCACCACTAGCACCACCACTAGCACCACCACTAACACCACCACTAGCACCACCACTAACACCACCACTAACACCACCACTAGCACCACCACTAACACCACCACTAACACCACCACTACACACCACACCACTACACCAACACCACCACTAGCACCACCACTAACAGCACCACCACTAACACCACCACTAGCACCACCACTAACACCACCACTACACCACCACTAACACCACCACTACCACCACCACTAGCACCACCACTAACACCACCACCACTACCACTAACACACCACCACCACCACTAACACCACCACACCACCACTACCACCACCACCACTAGCACCACCACTAGCACCACCACTAACACCACCACTACCACCACCACTACCACCACCACACCACCACCACCACCACTAACACCACCACTAACACCACCACCACTAGCACCACCACTAGCACCAC